GGATTTCCGTGAACGTCGAGAGCTTCGGCCTGCACCGTTGACAATAATACTGTCGAACTCGATTTCGCGACGCTAGCCATGGTGACGAGGGGTTCATTATTTTGTGGCGACGAACTCCCGTCGACGGCTGATTCGGAGGAGGCTCCGGTATCCGCCGGGGTGTCCGCTGGATCCGAATTCCGTCCAAAATGCAATAGGGTATGATGCCTAGCCTGGCACGACCGGCACGTCCCCGTCGAGGTGCAGTTGTTAGCGCCATGACCCGCGCGAAGGCAATTGAAACACAAATTCGCGGTTTTGGCCGTTGAATGCCTTTCCCGGGGGGATAGTTTCAAGAATCGAGGGCACTTGAACACGAGATGTTGTTCCTTGCACGCCGGACACTCGGCAGTTCGAGTTGCAAGCGACGAAGCCGACGCGGACGATTGTGATTTGAACGGCATGGTCGACGGACCCGAGATGGCCTCAAGTACTTTACAATGCTCGGAAAGAAACTTGATGAGTTGAGCGTATCGCGGTATCTCTTCGGCCCGATGGACAGATTCGAACTTTTCCCGCAATGATCGGGGAAGCTTCTCGAGCAGGAAATTGAGCAAAAGGAAATCCCACGAATCGGTAGGGAACTTCATCAGGTTTAGCGCGCGAGTGTTTTCGGTGAACGTATCTAATAATTTATGGAGGGCATCGGCCGATTCTATCTTTAACGGTTTGGCTTCGCGTATCGACTTTAGGTGGTGGTCCGCTAGCCTCCTTCTGTTCCGATACCTGTCGAGCAGCGCGTCGTATGCAATCGTGTAATACTCCGCGGCGAGGGGCAAATTCTTGATTACATTGAGCGCCTCCCCCTTTAGCGAGGCCAGCAGATATTGATACTTCTCTATTGACGAGATCTGTCGGTTGTCGTGAATCGAGGTGTTGAACAAGGCGATAAAAGACGGCCACAGCGTAAGATCGCCCGAAAATTGCGGAAGCGTAATTTTGGGTAACTTGATCGCCGACGCGTGGCTCGCGGATTGAGCCTGTGCGGTTCCGGGCGTCGTGTCCGTGAGCGCGTGATACCGTCCCTTCACGGCGTAATGCATTTTATCGAAGTCTGCCCGAATCGCGTCTTCGGCGTCGAACTCCGTAGTCTCCTGTATAACCTTTAGATGCGCGTTCTCAAAGTCCTCGGCGATTCTCGCCACGCTCGGATAGCGGGCAAGAAAACCCTCTAGGATCGTCGGTTCGGACGAGGCCTTCCGGGCAAGATCATAAATCTCCCGCATCCGCCGGACGCATAACTCGCGACAAGGGGGAGCTGATTTTGATTTCGACATGTTGGTTGATATGTAAACGATCAACAGCAACGGCAAACGATCCCAAGGACGCGTAGTGTATTGTCGCCCCGTGAAATACCGGCGAACAATAGGCTTCAAGTTTATATGCTAAGGGACAAAAGAGAGAGCGAAAGCAAACAACCGTTCTGTTCGTCAAGTGATGAGGAATAACAGATCAACAGATCATAACAGATGGCTCGTTTCGGATTCCTACGCGAAGGCTCAATGGAATGTTCCCGAGAGAATGCTCTTCAAACACGATATAATAGCGCAATCAAAATGACAAGTTTGTTAATCGCAAGAGCCAAGGGCGAACGCAGGAAAAGGGTGTCAAAGGCAGTGTAGAGCTAACAAGGAAGAGGGTTGCAAGGGATGTACAAAATAAAAAAATAGTTGTATCAGCGATCAAAATTATCAATTAGGTTGGCACAGGTGCCCGGTTACGGCGAGGAATGCATTCAAGTATTTGTTCAAATTAAGTTTTCAGCAATACATGTTGCGCGCGGAGCTACGACACGAGCAGCGTATACGACATGAGCAGTATACACATGACACGAGCAATAATCCACGACATGAGCATCAATTACGCCAACTCTTTGCAATTGTGATTATAATTGTAATTATAATCTTTGATGAGATTACCTTGAGTGCTGCAATATATTCTATACCGGGAACCAGTGCCGACGAACAGTATATTCGATCGGTGGCAATTATGTTTGCGAGAATTCCAACGATCGGAATAATATTCAGTATGTGTTTTCAATATGTATTTCGAGTCTGGCCGAAACACACCCAGCAACAACGAAAATAAGGTAGCGCGTTATTATGGAACGCGAGCTTATGTAGAAAAACTGTGTACATACGCTGCCGGCCCGTGACCGAGCGTCAAGGCCGTCAACGGCGCGGCGAAAACGTATGGCCAGCCCGAGAATATTCGAGATCTGAATATTTCGGTTTCTATGTTAACAATGACGGGCTTTAACTAATTACCGCGTCAATTGCGCAATTTACGATTAGTACAAATAACGGCGATGGAACGTGTTACAACGAGCGAGAGAATTGCGAGCGAGAGATATCGCGCGAGATCGTGGATTCACGCGAATATTCTCGTCGCGAATTAATTAGATTATTAACACGCCACGCGTTATTGCAATTCGCGTTAAATGCGAATAACAGCGGCGGAACGTGTTACGACGAGCGAGGTGTTCACGCGAGTATTCTCGCTGCGAATTAAGAATTGCGAACGAGGGATATCGCGCGAGACTAAAGATTACTAACACGCCGCGCGTTACTGCATCTCGCGACTATGCGAACAACCAATTAAGCGTATTTACGGCAAAGGCAGATAACAGCAATGGCATGGTTACGACAGCGAGAAGTTCACGCGAATATTCTCGTCACAAAGAGTTGCGAACGAAAGATATCGCGAGAGACTACCACGCGCCACGTGCTATCGCGATGCGCGATTACAAGAATGTGCGAAAATTAACAAGTTAATGATTAATGCGACGTGAGCGAAAGGTCGGCGGTAATTTTCTAACGCGAAATCCGGCTCGAAGGACCAATGAACGGGGATAGTTTCGCCCCGGAGGCAAGATTTGCGATACTCGAAGGACCAGAGGGGGGTTGTCGCTTTCCCCTCACGACTATCAAATGTTTAACGCGAAAGCAGAAACGCATGCAACGAAATATTAAGCGAAGCGACTCACCGTGTCGGCCGTCGTCCCCGTGATTCCGTCAATCCTCGTCCTGTCCCTTGAACTTGGCCGCTCCGTGGGTCTCTTTCGGCATGCGGTGGCAAAACTCGTGCAAGCAAGCAAAACGGTGGAGAACAAGCGATAGAGCAGGCAGGAAAAGGCAGTTGGAGACGTGCGCACTCCCGGTTGAGCAAGGCGGCAAAGGCGATCTCGAGATGCGTTCTGCCCGGCGAATGTGTGCCGTAAGACGGCTCTTAGAATATGTATGTGTGTGT